TGCACCTTCACCTGTCCACTTACTTCTGACACTTCAAATAACAGTCCCATGCTATCGTGTTCTCCCAGGACAGATATCCACACTCACAGACTATGGAATATCTTCTGGAGATGTATTTACAGCAGGCAATGTAGCATGACTTAGGAATTTTGTCAGGGGAACATACTGTCTCTGGACTCATGTTGCTCAGGAGGGCTGGCATTAGTCTTGCTGACAAATCTGAAATGGAGTGCAAACCTTCTAGAGGAAGTGCCAGGGGACTGCATATGCTATCAGTGAAACTGTGCAGGATACAGGCCTTCCTCCATCATCCACCCAAAAGTGAAATTCCAGTTTTACAGCCAGTAAGCTGGTGAACAGTATTTCATTATGTGGCTTTCTGCAGAGAAAATTAGCAAGTAATATACAAATATAAAGAGGCTTTTTCTTTCAGACTTTGACTTAAATGTGTCTATGACAGTGACTGAAACTCTGTTTTCTGACTAACCTGAAATTTAATATCAGACTAAACTCTGATCTGCTCTGCCACTGTGCAGGCTAACCCAAGTGAAAATAGGAAGTGGACTAGAACATTACAAAGTCATAGCAAAGATTTCTTTAAAAGATTTACTGGGGTTTAGGCAGTATGTAACTCTGTCACAGAGTTAACTATTAAAAAGGCAACAGTTTTAGGCACTGCCCTGCAATACAAGACTATAAAATGCAAAACAGGTGAATTTGCCATCTGGAGTGGTACGAGCTAAATACACAGGCACTTGCTACATTTAAAATGACAGCCCAGTCCACAGGAGGAATTACGAGGAGAACAAAGCAGATAAATGCTCTTTTGATCGCTGCTTGAATTTCCTAGTTCCGTGTGCCCATGTTTGCCTACTCTCAGGTAGGTGCTGGGTGTGCAGTGTGACGGTTAAAAGGCCAGTGCTATTTTTAGCTGTGTACACATTGCAAGGCAGCAGAAATGTAGGGCAATTCACACCAGCATGGCACAGGCAATTCTTGCCTGAGAGCATGCAGCCCTCTAACTGCTGCTTGAACAGAAAGAGCCACAGTCCTGGTCAAGAGCTGGTTTATAATATCACTATGCCATATGATATTATTTGCCAGTGCAAATGTATATGCCCTCCAACACGAACGGCCAAGTGGAATAGGTGATTTTGTCTGGGGCTCTGTTTAAGCAGGCAAAGGGGTGAAACAGGGACTCCACGTGACCCTCAAGGCAGCCTCCCTGCCTTTATGACCTGAAAAGCTTAGTTCTGACTAACCTGTTTTAAATTCTTCATTGGCACTGGCTCTGGGCTCATGCAGAATGCAGAATGCAGAGGGACTCTCAGAAGGCAGGTCAACATGCACCTCAGCCTCCTCGCCTACAGCCCAGCAGCCAAGGCAAGGGTTCAAGGGCACAAGCTTGCCAAGGCCAACGGAACAGGGTCCCAGGCCAGTTCTAGAACATTTTGGGCAACAAGCTAACTAGAGTTATTCAATCTGTTGACTGTCCATAATAGAGGATCTTTGTACACTTTTCCTTCTCATAAGGACATTATTTGGCGCTGTTGTCATCTCCTGAGACTTCTGTCCTTTTGAAAAGTTTTTCCAGCATTTAGGCACAGAGGTTCCGAGCTGCAATGGAGCTGTTACATGTGGAGTGGCATGTAGGAGAGTCAGTAGTAATTTTTCTAGAGGGTTTGGGCAATGAAGCAGCTTTTGCTGCTGGGAGGAAAGAAGAAACACAGATGTGACCACAAGCCGGTCCTTGGAAATGCCAGATGAATTTGATGCCAGTGCAGAAGGTGGTCAGGAAGGAGGGTAAGCATGACAGCACCAGGAGAGGGAGCTGAGCCCTGCAATGACAAGGCAATATTAAATGAACCCTCCATGCACACTTTGTGCACCTCAACAAGCGAAGAAAGAATTGTTTGGGGTAGAGCTAAAAACAATGAAATGCAAACAGCAAAACAAAAACATCATTAACACAATGTTAGGAGACATCTGAAATTATGAGTAAGGGGTACAGTTAAAAATGAAAATACAAAACCAAAAAAAAAAAAACCAATCTGTGCCTGACCTGCTATTTTACCATACTACAAATTCTGATTTAACTGCAGAAATATATATTAAGTTGACTGGAGTTCCCACAGAGTTATTAACATAAAGGCTCAGGGTGAGAGAGGTGATGGCTTAGCTACCTCTCAGTAACTGTCTGCATATTATTTAATGTCTGTAATGTGCTTTAAAGAAGAAAACCACTGAGCACTTAGAAAATTAGAACAAAAAAAAAAATTCCCCAACAGTGCCATCTATTAAATTATAAAATGTCCTCTCCAGGGAAGCCTCAGAAGTATTGTCACTAAATAAATTTAAAACTGAACAGCTTGAAATGTGTTTACTATAGGAAAGAGACCTGCATTTGCCCCAAGGAAAAGAGATGAAATGTCCTAAGGCTTCAATAGTCTTTTATCTCCATTTTTTATCACTCTTCCCTGATGCACAGGGGAGAGAGATGATTATTTAAACTCTTTTTTTCACCTCTGGAGCTGTCTGGTGAAATGTGCTGACAGGTATTATCCATCGACTGTGTATTCCAGGTAATTCACAGGGCAGGCAAGCAAGGGGGCCCACATTCCTTGACAAAAAGCAAGCACATGCTGGAGGAGGAGGCAGCTTCTCTTTGAGGCTAAGACAAGCTGCCAGCCTTTGCCATTTTCAGGGCAGATCAGAAAAAATGTTTCCCAGACACACATCCAGACAGATGCACACAGCAAGCAGCAAGGAACAGTTTAGTTAATCCCAGGCTGTCATGGGATGCTCAGAACAAAAGGAAAAGGTAGCCTTCTTTTTTTCCTTGTGGTCTTACTGCATCTGGTCTATACAAAAAGAGAAGCTCTCTTCCTACCACTGACAAGAACTGGGACTGAAGTTGTTTATATTGCCAATGGCAGAAAGAGGGGCAGGGGTAGGAGAAACGGAACTGGGAATTTAAAGAGCAAAGTCAGCTGTTGGAAGAAGGGATCAGACAATGCCACAGAAACAAGACGCTCCGTTGTTTCGGCTCTGATTTCCCATTACCTCAAAGCTACATCCCTGTCCAGGATGGTTAACAGCTGTATCTGCCCTAAAAAACTGTAGACTGGGCTAGAGGATCCAATGAGGTTTATTACAGCCTGCAGGTAAGGGCTGTCTCTAGTACCCTGTGAGCCCTGAGAGGCACTGTCAAGTCTGGAGCAGGATTCCCGAGTCACAGAGTGGCCGCCGTTAGGGTGAGTACCAATTACACTGGAGGAAGGCCCTTTGATCGTGTGATACGAGGCTGAAGTGTGGGCAGCCCTTTGAGAAGATTCAACTCCTGTCCTCCAACAGAACTGTTCCATGGCTCAGCCAGAACAAGAGACTCTGTCTTAGGGAGGGAGCTGGGATCCAATACAGAAGATGCCATCAAGAGCAGCAGGGAAGATAAAATGCACTTTTTTTTTTTAAGTTGTATGCGGCTCCAATATTCTATTAAATTACATTTTCTGAAATTACTTGATCATCTGTAGGTTTTTGTGGCAAATGGGAAGTACAGCAAAAAATACAGAAATAATTTAATGCTCTTGCATTAATAAGTGGAGTATATATAGAAGCTTTTTTCAAGAGTACACACATGGATCCTCAGCATAATAAGTTAATACAAAGTTGTCATCTCTGCTTAGCAGTAAAGTGCTCATAATTTTTCCTCTGCATTCAGCAAGATGTCAGATGTTGTACAGATATTCTTCAGACATGAAGATGTTCGCAGGCCACATAAACCTTCAGGGCAGCAGGACAGAGAAATATAAATTGAAACTCCTCAAATGATGTCCTCATTTCCAGCTACACTCTGTAGGCCAGCACATGGGAGCCAGGTAAGAGTTTATAAACTCAATTTCCAAAGGCAATCAGACAAGTAGTTCAGCAGCAGGCAGGAACGAAAGACAGTGGTCACTTCATGCAAGATACTTTAGTACAACCAGCCACTACAGAGTCCCGAATGGAATTTTGCCATGCAGCATCAGCAGTAGCTAATGAGGATGGATGGCTACTGTCTCACCTTGTTTTTTAATCTTCATGGGCTTTTAAGGTAATTTACCCAATCCTGGAATTTGCAAACAAGTCATATGCTCTTGGTAAATCCCAATCCCCCATCACTGCTTGTTGTACTTCCTGGGCCAAAGTGTCAGTACTGCACTGCAAAGTTGCAAGCCAAATATCATAATTCAGGGAAGAAATTCGAGCTGCAGCTCAAAATCCAAGATGCTTACAAGGGGAATATTTGATGTGGAAAAAATATTCTCATATTACAAGATCTTTACAAGGTTGACATCAGAAATCAATCCAGAGCTCTATTTTTCAGAGTACTCAGGTACTCACAATGCTTATTTCACAGTGTAACTGTGCAGGATACAGGTTGTATCTTAATGGAAAATTACTTGATAGCCAACAGCTGCACTATGAGAATTAGAACCAAAGTTTCATTTGGAAAGCTCTTTATATTGAGTGAAATTTGTTATTCAAATTCATCAAGTAAAAATCTCACTATCAGAAAATTTGACTGATGTACTAAAAGATTTTTCAAAAAGTATATTTAAACTGAACTAGAAAATCATAAATATATTTAAACTGAACTAGAAAATTCTAAAATTATTATAATCAAAATATTCTAATAAATCTGCCATATTGTTGCAAATTACATACTTTTTTTTAAATTAGAGACTTGTTTAATGATAAGGTATGTTAATATTCATATTTTCTCAGGGAAAATAAAATCACAGTACATGACTGAGTAACATGCATATGATTAAAACCATATTCTAAAAATAACAATAAAACTTGTTTTTATTGCAAGTTTCTCACAGCATATCCATGTTACAATGCAAACCAAAATACAACACATTATATTTTGAATACATCCTTATGAAATAACTGAATGAATCAATAACAAACAACTTCTCAGCTTTTTTCAGCTTTTTAATAACCAGTGGCCCATTCACCTTCTTTTCCTTCAAAAACATAAGGTGTAAACAACTTTCCCCAAATCTTATTGATGTACTGATAGCAATCATCCTGAGCAAAAGATTTATATTTGATGGAAACAGCTAAATCATAGCAATGCTTTTTCAGAATTTTTTCACGTTGTTTCACTTCCTACAGATCAAATAAGCAATTCATTTTCCTGTAAATGAATGGCTAAGGAAACCACGTAGGATTGACTTTAGGGAATTTCTGAGCTATTTCACCCCCACAGCTCTTTGCTTAGAATCCTCAATGTGTGATGACCATCTTTTAGGAAGGCATTTGGATATACTTTGTTCAAAAGTCCTGGTATGGCCAAATAGACACAACATCCGAGCAAAGCCAACTGTTACTCTCACTGAATCTAACCTGCAATCACTCAATTTCTTTAACTTGAAATCACACAGTATTAATCTTGATCTAATTATTTTAGGAAAAAAAAAAGGAGAATGCTATTAAGTCTCAATAATGATAAAGGTGGAACTGGAACACGAATCTCACAGTACCTATATGCCTTCTCCACTTTACACTCACCTTGCCACTGTCCACCTTGATCCTAAGGTGGCTGGCCTTTCACCATGTATAAGATTTTATACACTCTGGATCCTTTCTCTTTGTTACTCCTAAAAGCAGTTTCACCCAGTTGTCAGATCTGCCTTTATTTAACCATTAGTCATTGATCATTTATGTGTTGTTTATAGCTCTGGGGGCTCAAGTATCATCCCATGCCCTCTACTGACATCTCAGTGCATGCAGTAGCTTTCCTTTAGAGACCTGTGCCATGATACCATGTTTATAGTCCTCTATGCCACATCATTTTGCTAAGGCAGTGCATTCTTCATTCCACATAAAATAACCACTTGTTAGTCTCAGCTAAATTAAAATTATGGTTAAATCACACTAAGTTAAGCAAAAGCAGAACAAATTGTGTAATAGTCACCTGGTTACAGCTGGAAATTGCTGTCCCAGCTAAACAAGCTTAAGTAAAGTCCCAAACAGGCCAAGACAAGCCCAGACAAAGCCGTAAGTCCTGAGGCCTTACAGAGCTCCTGCAGACTCTCTGGGCTGTTATAAACAACAGCAACGTGTGTTACCATGAGTAGAGTAAATACTGAGCTACAGGGCTACACAAAGTTTGGGTGCATGGGAGCCTGCAAATGTAGTCCACACTTGAAAAGCTCCATCACGTAGTCACAGTGCCTTACAGCCAGAGAAGGGAACTTGGGTAAACCAGCCTACTCTTTGCAGCCACTTCCGTCTCACCTGGAAGTAATTGACTTCTCCTAACCAACAGTGTTATCTATCCTGACCCAGCTACCTGGAGACTCTGGTGACTCCTTCGTACTTGATGAAAGCCAGCCTGCTTTAAAGAAGGAAAAAGTTATAAGATTTATTTTGCTGGCTACTGGCTTTTCCATGTACTCTAGCCCAGACCAGAGCACACAGTGAAATGTTTCTTTCTCTGCCTGGAGGAGCAGGACCTAGCTTTATACTGAGCCATAAATGGGACTGTAGACCTAGGAGCCAGTTTAATTGGGTTCTATTCCCAGTTCTGCAGCAGGTCCTTGCATGACCTTGGGGAAGTCACTGGTAATCTGTTTCTCCTGCTAAACTGAGGCAGTATTGTCCCTTAAGCTGTTATGCCAAAGCAGTTCAACAGCTACAGATAAAATATGCCATTTAAATGCTCACTACTATTTTGTTATCTGCAAAACTCACCTCCAAACAAATTTTGTCACTTCTGACACAGACCCTTTTAAATTGCACTGAAACGCTGTATCAGGCCTGAATGCCAGATCCCAGTGAACAGACACGTGAAGCAAGCACTGCATGTATGGCTGGATGAACTGCAAGAAAGAAGCTGCCCTACCTTCCTTGATCCCATTTTCAACTGCAATTCAATCATACTCTGGAAGTGAGCATTGGGATGCTGTGCTTTTCATCAGCATTCTTCTGGGAGAAGCCTAGGGAAAAAAAACAAAAAAAAAAAAGGAAGGAGGAAAAAAGCTCGTAGTATAAAACTCATAATACTTCATGCTGTAGCTCCTTTATTTTTCTTCCCTCAGTCCTGACCTTGCCAGCTTCAAGTCAGCTTCAAAACAGTTCCTGCTGTGCAGCTCCGTATGACACTCTTAAAGCAACTCCTGTGCCTCAGAAACACGTGCTATTTGTGCTCAATTCACTTATTCTTTGTTTTAGACCAGGATGAAAAGACCCTGAAAGACAACAAAAATTCAGCTTTGTTTAACTGAAGGTTCAAGGTCACAAACATGTCCAATTTAATGGACTTCCAGGGAGGATTTCTATAAACCCTATCCTGACTGACCCCAGCTCCTAATCACACGGTCATTTTTATTTTTCCCTAAAACCAAAATCAGAGATGCCGATATTCACAATTACTCCTCACTGCTCCCTCTGGTACAAGTTGTGTCCTTCAGGTTGCAGGCAGTGTTAAATGTTCATTAACTTTCATAAATTATAAAACTCACAGCAACTTCACATTAATTATTTTGTATCTCAGATTTACATTGACCTTTGTAAAAGGTAGCATACCTTTAGCAATTCTTTACTGTACCATTTATGAGAGATTATGTCAATAGGTGATTGTTTCTATTGGTGATTATTCTAGAAGCAGAAATTACTGAGTGTAGTTGTTATGTGAGTGGTTTGGATTATAGCTGTACGCTGAGTCTAACTCAGAATTTTCTCAATGAAATTACTACCTAAATGCCCTGATGCTATTTATCTTCTCTCTCTTCAGAGTAACTCTTCAACTTATCTTCTCTTTTGAGGGTATTTGTCATCTCCAGTTGCTCAAGTTAACCAGTTTAACCTAGGTGCTCCCAAAAGAGTCTGTGTCATCTCAGCACAGAACGCTAAAAGCACAAAAAGCCCAAACTGCAACTTCCATTCATTTTGCCCAAAACCAAACAATTCTTGAGGGCTGCCTTCAAATGGAAACAGGATTCAGACACTCTCATGTGTTTTTCTTTACTAGAGTTTATATAGCTTTTTTTTCCAGAGCACTTCCACTCCTTTGCTTATGACAGTTAATGAAACCAGGCCTGCACAGAGAGAGGGTATTTAATGTTACAGCACACAGGTTACTTAGCCCATGCAACCGTGCATTTTATGTGCCTGTTCAGCACTGCACATTTCTAGCACTCTCTCCAGTTTATTTCCAAGTACTCCTATTCAAAGGTCTTCTGTAATTAGGCCAAATGCAATCAATTCATAGAGCACCATTGTTTTCCCATGTTTCAAAGGAGTTGTTCAGGGCTGTTGCATACTCTGAATTGATTGAGCATGGGGATTACTTTATCTCCAGGGGAGATGATGATCAGCATTTCCCACCCAATTCCTGAGCTGTCTTTACTAATTTATCTTAATAACATCTTTGTGTTTTGAGTCAGAAGGAAAGAGATCAAAGCAGAGAACACGGCAGGCATACTCTCAGGATTAAAATTGGCCAGAGGCAATCAGCAGAACAAGTAAACAGCTCTTCAGCAGTCTGAAGAAAAGCCTCATCTAACGTGAACATTTTTTGTGCCCCTGCAAGCTCTCCCCCAGTTAGCCCAGTTGGCTTGGAAGGTCACATCTGCTGCTTGTGTTATTTCTTGTCATCATCCTATCCCTATTGCCCTTTTTCACCCTTGAACTTCATTAATGAATAACATTACATCAACTCTTGTGGTTCCTTAGCAAGACAGAACAGACTGTGTTCCTTAAGGAAACAGGCTGATTTTAAAATTACACCATGCTTCATTATAAACCTCCGAGCCCTGGTGTGCTGAGGAGGACTCACATGTCTGCCTGAGGTGTAGGGCTCAGTCTCCTCAGGATATGATTTGGGGCTTAAAGGGTCAGTATATTTCAGTGATTCAACACAATCCTGTTTCACTTTGGCAGGAATAGCACACAGGTGGTGGAGGAGTCTATATTCTATTTGATACTTGATACATCTCACTTAGTACCTTGCCACTGTGATGGTCCTTCCTCTGTGTTCTCATCTCTTTGAGAAATGAAGTTGCTTTGCTGGAAGTTGTAACATCACATCTTGAACAGAACAACCTAATCAGAAGGAAAATGAGATTGCATTCTCTGTCTTTCTGCATGGAAGCTGAAAACATAACTCCTGCTTATTTTCTTGACTTTTATACTGAGAAGATAGAATTGATGCAAAAAGGCCACCTGAAGTGTCCATTTTAGTTTCCATAGGAGCTTGATTTTTAAAGCAGGTTTTATTCCTATTGAGTTCAGGAGCCACTGCAATCTAGTTTAAAAGTGATTTTACTTTTTTTTTTTTTTTTTTCCCCTGGTCAATCAATGGGCATTAGACCTATCCTGTACTCTCATCTTGCTCAAAGCCAGAGGTGGACAGAAGCAGCTCAAATTTAATTGAGAATCAATGCATACAAATACAAGGCTGTGTGTCTGGGAACAAGACAGACACACTTGCTGTGGTACAAGGAGTCAGATCCTGCCAAGAAGCACCTCTGAAAACGACATAAGTCCCAGCAGAGCAGTGCCAGAGCAGCACCCTGTCATCATCAGCACCATTGCTGAAACAAAAGGAGCACTGCTGCTACCTATGTAAGAGCACACTGAACACGGAACTCGGTATTTGGTGGTGATGAGGCTGTTGCTGACTCACTTGAGTGCAGACCTCAGCTTTAAAGTATTGGAGATGAGGGAAATGCATTTGCAGTTTGTGAGCGCTGCCAGATTTGCCAGTCCTCTCAATCTCTCCTCCCTTGCCCAAGCTTTCTGCACGCTGTGGGTGTCTTCCCTGCTGACAGTCATCCTGTGATGCAGCCCTGTACAAGGGAACAGAAAACTCCAGACATCTTTTAAAAGAAAGATGACATTGGGCAGGTGCAGGTGTTCTTCTGATAAATGCTTTTCTGAAAGGCAGAGACCAATTGAACCAGTCCCTTCCTAGCTGCTAAGAAAAGAAAAAGGAGGAAAGTCAGCCCTAGCCCAAAATAAATGGGCAATCCTGTCTCCACAGGACTCCCTGATGAGTGCTCTATCCCAGAGCTTTCCTGTGACACATACCCAGACAGAGATAAACTAAGCCTTAACCTGGGAAGCTTTAAATTATAAACTAATCTTCCTCCTGGGTCACAGCCTTACTAAAGACTAGAATTTGAGGGGTCCTTCATGAGAAGGCTGGTGCAGTGCTGGAGGGCAATTCACAGAGCACTGGTGATGGATGGGGTGAGGAATGCAGCCCCATGACATGTACAGGCCCGGGGTCAGCTCCATTCTGACACCACCTGCCATCACAGGTGAGCCCAGCACTGATTCTAATGCTGTCTTCACAAAAAAATGGAGAGACAAAAAGATATTGTCATTTTTCTTTTATGTAGTACTGTTCTGGTAAAGCAAACTTCTGACCCTACAGCTTTTATTCCTCACTCACTTCCATCTTTCTTAAATTCATTGGCAAAAATAGGCCGGAAAGGTAGAAAACTAATATAAAAATATTGCTTTCTCAGGACCACTTCTGACAGTTGAGGAAGTTATGGATGCTAGCTTTGGAACAGGCTGCAGGGAGCTGCAGAAACTGCAGGCCCATGGCCTCTCAGTCTTGCCTGAGAAGCTAGCCTGGGAATTCAAAGGAGGATTTCAAAACAATCCTCAGAGACAGAAAATAACTGCCAGGTGCTGTTTATCTGTCCTCTTGTTTTCCCTTGCAGGAGAGGGTCAGGGGGGTAGAGTGCCCCTGACCAATGATGGTGATGTAGCACTTTGCTAACCAATAAGAGTTTCCTTTCTGTACTTTCCACGTATCTGTCTATAAGACAAAGCTGAAGGAATAAACTAGAGAATTCTCGTGTTGAAACTCCCTTGAGAGTTCATGTCGTTCTTTAAAGCCGTTCCCAATCGGAACAACATCAAGTCACCAACATCTGGCCATTGCTTTTTAACCAGCTAAACATCTAGCCATTGTTAGGGTTTATTTTCAACCAGCTAAAAGGCCAGTCAGATTTATCACCATATGCAGAGTTCTGCCATTCATTCAAATTCATTCATGTTGAATCAAACAGCCACTGAGCTCTTTGGAGCCACCACCAGGCTGACTACAGCTTCTGCAGAACTAGATGATTTGCCCTAATTACGATTTTCCATTATAAACTAGCTTTAATCTCCATGCAAGGCGTTTATCAACCTTATTTAACCAGGGAGGAAAATGGGCAGATGAAGTCAGGGTAATTAGCTCTTCTCTCTCCCCTTGATATCCCATTCATGGGAGTATTTTGTCTCTCCCCTTGATATCCCATTCATGGGAGTATTCACTGAATATGAAAACCATTAGCAAGCTTCTCAAGCCATGCCACTGGCACAAAGAGAGAAATTGTGCCCTGCTCATAGCTTTCATATGGATGATTTTACTCCTTTGTGTGTCTCATTTCCTGGCCACACTCAGGCTGTGGGAGGTACATTAACTTTCAGCTACATCACCAAAACTGAAGAAAAAAACCTCCAAACATATAACCCTTTTATGTGTACATCTTTCATCATTCCAAAGAGCTGCGTAAGTTTTGCTCTGTAGGTCTTATACCGTAAGGTGTCATTCCTAGACGCTGGACCATTTTCATGGTGCTTCCTTGATATCTCAGCAACTTGTGTCACTAAACACAGACATCAGCACTGAGGAACATTGTCTTACCAGTGTCTGTACAATATGAGGGTGACTCCCCTGCCAAAATCAGGGAATATATTTCTGTGGGGTAAAGCTGAAACTCATGTTTCAGTCGCAGTGGGAAGGACAATCTGAAGAATGGACAAACTCTTTCCAAGCCCTGGTTAGGCTGCCCATTTTCTGAAACGTATTTGCTCATAACATTTTCTTGGGAAATACTGTACTTAATAGGTTTTCTTTCTAGTGTGAAAAGCAGACCTTGGAAAGTCATGTACACTTTTGGTTTCTTTTCTCCTATGGTATTAAGAGAAAAGAGGAGAAAAAGAGGAGAAAAATATAAAGCCAGTAAACAGGAGGAAAAAAAATTATGAAAAAGGCTTCTACTTCTAAGAGCAACTAGTAGCAATTTACAGCAACAGCTTTCGGGTTTTGATTTATTTTTTCATGGAAATCATGTGCTTGGATGTTATAATGCCAAATAGAGACATGACATGTTGTATAGCTGTACTGGGTAACATCTTTGTAGTATAAACTAATTTACCGGCAAATTCTCCTTTGTGTATGTGTGTGTGTATAAATTCTCATTCATGGTTACGTTTTTCCAATCGGTTTTGAGTACGTTGTTTGCTTTCTGAGGAAATAAAATGGAAACAAACATCACTCTACAGCACCCCGCTCCTTAACGTTATTAAGGAAGGCAGAACAGCTCTAAAAACCAGAGCCATTAACTTTAATGCAATGTGCCAGGTACTGGGTGGTTCGACAGCTTCAGAGGGGATTTTGAAGCCGATTTATCCCACTCCGCGGGGCGCTGCGCCGCGGGCGGGCCCGGTTCCCTCAGGGCGGGCCCGGTTC